TAGCCACGTGCCCCCAATGTCCGCCCCTCCCCCAGCGACCCTCTGTGGCTGTCCGCACCTGTGCCCGCATAGCCACGTGCCTCCAATGCCCAATGCCCACCCCAGAGGCTCCTTGGTCCCCGCTGCCCTGTTCCAACTCCACCTCAAATTGGAAGAGTTTCCTCCAAACCTCCAAGGAGCTCCTCAGCCCCTGAATTTCCAGGGTCTGGGGTGTCCCCTTCAGCGACAGCCCTGGGTCAGGCTCCAGAACCCATGGCGGGGTGCTGCAAGAGGCTGGTAAAAGCAGCCTGGGCGCAAGTAAGGGGCTGGGTTGGACATGAGAGGCCTCCTAGGGCCTAGCCCACCCCACAAGCCTGCCTCCGCACCTGGCCCTCTTGACCATTTCCCACCCACCCAGCCCCCAACTTGGCGCAGTGCCAGGGACTCAAAATGCCGGAGTTGCAACAAAACTTTGTGAGTGCTCCCCTCCCCCAGTCTTCCAGGAAGGGTAGGCACCACCAGATCTGCCAGCCTGGACCCACCCTGCCTGAGATGGACAAGCCGGACACCAGGAAGTGGCCGCCTCCAGATGGGCTCACAGGCGGGGGAGGGGGTCCCCTGTAGGCACTGCGACCTTAGACCCTCACTTCTAGAAGCTCCAGGTGGCCCACTCTTTCTGGAGCCCATGCTTTACAGAGGGCAGTGAGCGGGTCCCCCAGCCTTGTGGCGGGCTCTCCTGGCCCTTCCACCTGGAAGGAGGGGCCCTGTGGCTTGGTATGATGTGAGCCGCGGGAGGGGTGGGGCTGGAGACCAGGAATCCTGAGCTGCCTGGGATGAAAGGGGGGGGCATGCCCCCTACCCCCGCCCCTGCCCAGAGCCAAAAATACTGCACAGGTGCGGGTGGCCATTTGGGAGAAATGGCAAAAATGCAGACAGCATTGCCGCCCGGCCCCACTTGGCCTCCTGGTGCCACAGAGGCCCTGCAGCCCCCAGCGGGGTCCTCATGAGGCTGGGGTGTCCTGGGGCAGGGCAAGGGGCCTTCTCTCAGGATTGGGGGTTGAATCAAGTGCAGGGGGAGGGGGCTCACCAGGTTGGGGAGATGAGATGCATGGGGCAGGGATGCCCTGACGGAACAGAGGCGGGGAGTGTTTGTCCCTGTGACTTGTCGCAAGCCCTACACGGCCCGCTCTCACAGGGCGTATCTGACGATGACACAGCTGGTGGATGGCCCTCAGTAAAAGGTCGGGCTCTGCCTCAAACCGTGGGAACAGAAATCCCGTACGGTCCCCGCATCCCGTCCCAGACGGGGCACAGCTTTGCAGCTAGCCTTGTCACAAGGACAAGCCGGACGTTGGGAGTGGCTAGGTGCCCACCCGGAGCAGAATGGACGGAGAAACGTTGGTCCGTACACACAATGGAAAACTCCCCAAGCTCACAGCAGCCCTGCGGGACAGGGTAGCGCTGGCCCTTGAGTTTCCGAGACTGTAACTGTCTACAGACAGAAGTAGAGAGCCCTGCCTGTATCCCTCTGGGCAGCTGCTGGTTCCAAACTACGGACTCTGTGGACCGCAGCCCAACGCATGACCACGAAACCACAGGGCCCCCCCTGCGGGAGCCCTGCACATCATTACAACCACAACCCAGAGGGTTCTGCTCAGTCACAAAATGGGCCCCTGTGGCCTGAGACCATTGCTGGGTTGTGGATCAGAGCCTAGACAGGACTGTGCACACCCAGGGCATGCGCTGCGGGCTCCCAGGTTGGGGAGGGCGAGCCGGCAAGATGAAGCTATGGACTTGGGGCTGACAGGCGTTGCCTTGAGTGGAAGGGAGGATGGAGGATCACAGGAGGGAGAAACCAGGGGAGGGTGCTGAACTGTGAATGCAGAGCTGGTGATCTGAAAGGTGAGCCCCCACTCAAGTCACAGTTGTTTAAAAAGCCAGACAACAAATTTAAAATCCTATTTAGGCCCCTAGGGGGTTGTTGTGGGGTTAGTCTAGAAGCCCCTCCCCCCCACCAAGCTGAGCGTTAGCCCCCACAGGCCCAGGGCCTGGCCCTTTAAGGCAGGAAAGCATTGTCGGGGGGCCAGCTGCACATGCAGCCCCACGCCCACCTGCTTCAGCTTCAAGCCCATGTCATTCAAACGCACCCCAGCTGCACCTCAGCATGGCTGCACCAGGGCACCTGAGAAGGGGAGCAGATTTGCTAGAGGTGGTCCTGGTGGCGCTGGACTCCTCCACTACCACAGCTGGTGTCCAGCCACTGACCACTAGCCTTCTCCCCCTTGGAGGATGCATGGTGAGCCATGAACTTTAGTCTAAATGAGTCTCTTGCCTGTTTCTCGGAGATGGGATGAGAGAAAAGACCTGGAGGGCCCAGGTGCTGCTGATCAGAAGAGAGCTGTGGCTCAGAAGAGGGCTCCCCTTGACTGAAGGTCACATCACTTTGCGATGCTCAGGACGGTCCCACCAAGGACTTTGCCCTGTTCCCTCCTGGAGTCCACTCCATGGCCTTTGAGGTGGGAGGCACACAGGCTCCGCAGGCTGGCAGGAAACACTCCAGGGGCGCAGCACAAGCCCCTCTGCCTCCATGGGCCCCCGGGCATCCCACAGACACCTGTGCCCACATCCTGAGTGGAGATCTGGGTGTGTCTGGCTAGAACCGCCAGGTGCAGCCCGCCCCCGCACCCCACCCCAATTCTGGGCTCTTGCTGAGGGAGGATGAGGAGGATGGGCCAGGGCTACACTGTCCCTAGTCCTTCCCTCCACCTCCCCACCTGGCTGCTGCCCCAGCCTGGCTGGTACCTGCACACTCCTCCATGACAAGGCGCAGCTGGTGCATATGGGTGGGAGAGGCAGGGCGAGGCGGGGCGCGGGCGAGGCTGGGAGCAGGGGGAGGGGCAGAGGCTGGCCCTCTCCTTCTCCTGGGGCGCCCCCCACCCCCGCCCGCCCCCGCAGTGTCTGCTGAACACAGACTCCACTGTTGTCTGGGCAGCCCTCTGAAGACCCTTCCAGTTTCCTGACAGCTTGGCCACATGACTAGACACTGGGTGAGGCCAGCCTTGGCCAGGCAGGTGGCGGGCAACTTGACGGCACTGTCCTTGGAGGGGCCTTGGACTTGGCTGGGTTAAAGGTATTGGGGAGGCGGGGGAGGCTCTGAGGGCATGTGCAAGGTCACCCTTCACACTCCCGGTCCAGAGGCTGGCCCTGAGCCAAAAGCCCACAGGAAGAACTTGGGGGAGCAGGGCAGGAGCACATAGGGGTGTGTTGGGTCTGGGCAGCCTGGAGCACCAGCAGCAGCCCTGGGCACTCAGCACTAGGGGGCGGCAGATCACTGGGCACTGACTGCTAGAGGCAAGCTGGGGGCTTTGGTGGCAAGTGACTCAGCCTCTTGCTTTTGAGTGTCCCCTGCCCCTATGAGGTTGCCAGAAGGTCAGCCCAGGCCCTGGAGGCCCCTTCTCTCAGCCCATCATCTTGCTGTGAGCCCAGGACCTGTAACCAGGTGCTTGGTCAGTTGGGATCCCAGGTCCCAGTCTGTGGCTGCCAGGCCCACAGAGCTGCCCAAGAGCTCTCTGCCAGCCAAGTGCCTTCCCTGGAGCAGAGGGACCCGCAGTCACTAGGCCTTGTGTGTGTGTGTGGGGGGGGGGGAGGTGTTCCTTGGTCGCCAGGCCTTGGGGCTGCGGTGCACACGGGTGTGCGGCTGTGGGTGACGGCAGGGCTGGCAGGGCCAGTAGAGCACCATCCTCGGAGGGCCTGTCATTCCCCCACCCTGCAGGCTGGAGCCTTGACCCCAGGTCAGCCTGGGCCACTGGCCCAGGGACCTGTGTTCAAATTCTCAAGACACAGCCCTACCCTGGGGGCCACAGGTTGGGGCTGGGCGCTCCTGGCATTGAGTGGAGGACCAGGATGGGGCGGACCACCCCGCAGGGCACAGCCCCCACCAGAGAAGCAGCCAGCTTGAATATCCTCAGGGCACAGGTTGGAAATCCTGTTCTCATCCGACCCTGGGCAGATATACATGTGCTCTTTACTTACATCAGCATGCCTCTGCTGATGGGGCGATCACGGCCCCTCAAGGCAGTTCAGTGACTTGTCAGACCAAGTCCCTCATTGTGTGCGCTGGTGTCTACTCCACCTAGGGCCAAGCTCACTTCTCCCTTGGAGTCAGAGGGGGCAGGGTCCAGCTGTAGCTGTCTGGGGTTGGTCTCCAGGCCTCTCCTGACCAGGCTTCCTTGATTTGGTTTGCTCCAGTGCCTCTGGACCCCAAGGGTACCCCAACCCAGAGGTAGCCCAGAGTCGGGGGTTAGAGTTGGGCTTGAAGGTTGAGGTCCAGGTTCAAGTTCAGGCCTCTAGCACACTGGCTGTGTGACCTCAGGCCAGTGAGGCAGCCTCTCTGAACTTCAGCTTCCTTCTCAGTCAGAGTCACAATCCGAGGAAGCAGATGACCTTCTTGATCTCCCGGGCAACAACCAGTTGGCTGGCATCTAACGCTTAACCGGGCATGCTCTCAGGGCGCCTTGGGATTTGCTATTTGGGTTGCACGCACCAAACCACACATGGAAAGATGCTCCACCTCGATGCCAGCAGAGACTGGCTCAGACCTGCATTGACCACATGGAGACGTGGAGCTTCTTTCTGACTGGCTGATACAAACTGCCAGTCCGCACGGCGCGTCTTCAGGACTCTGCTGGTCCACCAAGCGAGCCTGGAAGCGCAGTCCGCACCTCGGCAGCAGTTATGGCATTTTCAGGGAAGCTGAGGGCTTGTCAGTGAACAGGATGCCATTTTGTCACCACGAAGTCCCTCTGCTCTGATGGTACAGCTGCAGATGTAATTGATTCCAGGTGGGCAGGCCCATCACACCCTTCCTCTGGGTGCTTCCCATGTCTGCCGCCACCCTAGGCCTGTGTTGGCCCCTGTTACAGGCACCCCAAATGTGTGCACCTCACCTGGCACAAGCTATCCACATCCAAGCCTGTCAAAGGCCCTTGGATGCAGATGTGTCCTGGGAAGCACCGGACACCTCAGCTTTGTGCAGCAACCTGAGGACAATGTGGGGGTTTGTCCCTGTCTCCTGGGAGGTAACCGTGAGAGCCTGCAAGCTGAAGGCTCAAGGCACACCTGAGAATTTAGGCTGAAGAGGGGGGATGTCTCCCCAAACAGACCCAGCAGGGGATGTGGCCTCGACCTCTCTGGGGGCAGGAGACTGAGCTCAGTCATGTGACCAGTGTGGCACTTGGTGACACCCCATGAGAATGCTGGGGACGGAAGGCAGGCATCCTTGGCAGCTCTCAGCCTCCCGTCCTTCCACACCCTTTGCCTCCGTGAGACTGTACCCCTAAGCTCCCAAGTTGCAGGAGGCGCTAGCAGCTACTAAAGTGGGAATCCTGAAGCATCAGTCAGTAGTCTGAGGGCAGGCATCCTGCGGGTCCCCCCAAACCTTGAACTGGGCCCCCTGACCTGTGAGGCCGACCTTGCCGTGCTGCTACTGATCTTGGCGCACATGACTGCACCCACCAGCCTGAGACCTTTCTGCACCCTGCTTCCCTTTCTGTCATCAGCCAGCCGCTACGTGCCTCTGACCCATGATTTAAGTTGGACTGGGCTGGGCTGGTTTCTTGATATAAACGTACTTCTCAATCTAAAGTTCCTTCGTATGCATAGATGAGTGTCTAGACCAGGGGTTCTCAAACTACACTCAACCAGCCCAGTGTTTTTGCCCCATTTTGTTTTTTACTTCAAAATAAGATATGTGCAATGTGCACAGGAATTTGTTCATAGTTTTTTTAAAACTATAGTCCGGCCCTCCAACGGGTCTGAGGGACAGTGAACTGGCTCCCTGTTTAAAAAGTT